ACGAAATAGAAAATGATGACGAGAAGCACCACGGACGAACTATTTTCTCAATAATACGCTTGCCGTCGCGATAGACGCGCACCGTTCCACGAACGACCAGTTGTCAAACCTCGCTACGCAAATAAGATTGTCCTGCCATCTACCCCTTATCGCTCAAATTACGACTACGCAGCACACTAAAGGTAAGTAAGGCAGCAACACGCTTGCGATGCTTTACCACCCATCCATGCATGTAAAGGAAGAAAAAAAAAACTATGGCGGACCGTCTGTTGTCTGTATCTTCAACCGTGCTGCCGTTGCTTTTCTTCATGGATATCGGCACAGAGAAAAAATGAGGAATGCGCATCGCCTACGCGAGCACGGCGTGCAGCCCAAGCGACAGAGACGATAACCTTATGACCTTTGCAGCATCTTCCGAGCATAACAGCAGCCACCGCATGTGTACAACGGTCACTATAGACTAAGGAAGAAAATCACAAAATCACTGGTTATCGCCCCACAGCGAGCGATAGCTGCTCAAACGACTGTGAGAGGTCTTGAAATCGTCTCAGCTACCCAGAACTGCTGGTAGTTGCCGGAGATTTGCAGGTACGTACTGCTTTTGCCTACCACTCTCGTCCTCTCGTCCGCACATCAACAACAACAATAAATGCTAATTTTCGCACCACAAAAGAGCCATGCAGAAAGCTGCAACAACAGAACAAAAGCAGCTCCTGCTGTATGTACACAGAATGTCCAGCTGTGTGCTGAGGTCGGTCAGCATCTCGAGAGAAGCGTGGCCAGCAAGCAAGGCTTGGCGCGGGACACGAGAGAAGCAAGCAAGGCTTGGCGCGGGCGGCGAAAAAAAGAAGACGACTCTATATAAAAAGATCTGTAAAAAAGAAGGCTTGGCGCGGGCGGCGAAAAAAATGAAGACGACTCTTATACAAAGAGATCTATAAAAAGAGGACCCTCAACGACAAGTCAACCAATCTGGTCGTTCCGATGTGACGATGTAACGCAGATCTTCTTGTCGACGGAGAAACTGGTTATCGCCCTGCAGCAAGCGATAGATGCTCAAACGACTGTGAGAGGTCTTGAAATCGTCTCAGCTACCCAGAACTGCTGGTAGTTCTGGGAGGTTCGCAGTGTGGGCTGAGATCGGCCTTTTCGACCCGGTCGGGCAAGGGGTCCGCTATGCTACTGAAAACTCCACAGACGGAAAAAAAAGACTTTTGATCGACTGAGACCCAAGCTAGAGCTTGGGAATTTTGAACTTTCAGAACATGAAACGTTTTGGGGCGTTAGACTGACCACGAAATGGAGTCGCCTCAATTGGGGCGGTAAGGATTGCACAAGGTACGGCGCTGAGATCGGGACGATTTCTTGAGTGAACACCACAAAACAACATCATCACACCAACAACGTTCCGGCTAGTTTGCGGGCCCCACAAGAAATGAGGCAACCTCTCACCCCTTCTTGTCCCCCCCGTTCCAAATAATGGTTTGTAGCAACACCGATTGGCACCGGCCAAAGAACAACAAACAATAAGATTTGTGGTCGGGACACTTGCGATGTGATTGATACGCATACAACTATGCACTTCGCCCGTTCAACAATAATACCAAAGCAACACACACAGATTCAGCCCCCACCACCCCTGCACTACAATACACCACATTAGTCGGCCCAAACAACACAAAAACTCCACTAAATCCAACAACACACGTGAAGCAAAAGGACACGCCTATCTGCCTCTCTCACCACTACCCGACCCCCGCACGCGGCCCGTCACACACACCAACAAACGGCAGCATAGAACAAACAAGCAGTATATTGCATACAAAACTCCGCCTACTTGAACCGCAGTATCACCGACAACGAGCGATTGGAGGCCCATGTCCCTTCCGTGACCGTAAGAACATCTCCGTCTGAGCAGAGCTCCCCCAACGTCTTCTTGAGGTTTTGTTCGGTCTGTCTCCGCAGGGCGGGAGGTTTGGGCATGTACAACACCAGCCCCGGTCGCGTGAGGGAAGGGTCCTTCAGCCCACTGTTGTGCGTGTCGTGAAAAAAGACAATAAAAAAAAGAAGAAGAGGGAAAACACACACACATCATCATCATCATCATCAGCGGCAGTCGCAGTACCAGGTTTAACAAACATCGGCAACAAGGGGAGGGGCAGGAGGGAGGGGCTACAAGAGGATGACTTGTCAGAACGAGCAAGATCTCGCGGCAAAAAACTGCACGAAGCTGCCACTATAATAGCGAAAGGGGCAGGCAAAAAATACCACTAGGGGTTTCCAAGCCTGAATCTTTACATACAGGTGCACATTGTTTTACTAGTAGTAATGATTACGCAGCGGTCTCGAGAGAAAAGCGTGTTAGTTCCTCAAGACCACAAAATATCGATCCTGAGAAACGCGTCCTCCTGTCTCTGAAAGGCACGCAATGTTGAAAAAAAAACTCCCCAACAAAACCAACAAACCAGATTCCGGAGGGACCGAAACCCAGAGTCCAGCTCATACGGAACGTGGTGGTCGCGTGCTCTCTCTGGTGCGGCACATCACTGCTCGGATTGTGTCAACAGCGGTCAAGCGTCTTTGAGAGACTTCCAGACAGACGGAAGACAGACGGAAGGACGAACAAACACAACCTCAACCTTCGAAAACTAAGAGTGGACCCAACGTTCAGTGCATCAAGACAGGTACACGCAGATGAGATGGAAGCGTTGTCTGGACGCATGGAAAATAACAGGATTGGCGGAAACAGGGCGGGGGCAAAGGGTGCTACGGAAGCAGTACGCTGGTACTGTAGCTCACAGTGTCTCCACGAGGTCGGTGAGTGTGCTGCTGGGCTTCACTTCCACCGTACGCTGACTTGACCCGCACACCAGGCAGTCCTCCTTCTTGTCTACTACCATGGTGGAGCCGTGCGTGCCCTCCATGCCGTTGTACCTGGCTCGCGCGGCGCCCGGGAAAAGAAAAAAGTAGGGGTACATTACTGCATATATACCTCACCAACAAGGCGCAACACGGGGTGGTTACCGTAGTACTTGTTACCAACCAAAAACAAACGAGGTCAGGTATTTACCAAAGAGCGACAAAGCGGGGGGGTGGTGGAAGAGGAGGCAAGAGGAAGGTGCTCAGTGTCCAGGGAGCGAGATTACTCTTAAGGACGGGGAATTATCTGCCGTGCTTGTTCAGGCGCACGCGGAAAACGAGAGGGCCAGACAAGGGCATCCTGCCATGATCGAGTCGAACCAACACGCCAACCTACAACCATACAAGTGTGATGTGTCAACGTGTCAACATTGATGCCCGACGCATCACACACAGGCACGACAAGCGACCGGCCCGCAAACAAAGAGAAAACCATGAACTTGTAGAATACATGATAGCCAGCAGCTCACAAGAAACGACAGTTCAACCGATCTACCTCCCCCCTCCCCTCTCCCTCGCATCACACGTAGCCCCAACCCCCGCCCCCCTCACATCATATAGGTGTTCATGGTCTGCCCCGCGCCCGTGAGGATCTTGACGGCCTCGTTGGTGCAAGAGGCCGCGATGATGGCGTTGGTGCTAGCCACCGCAGGGATGATGTTCTTCACAACCCCAAGCGTCAGCTCGTACGTGACACCGGCGATGCCATGGGCCTCCGCTCTCTCCTTCGCCTGCTCGCACACCCACTGAAGAAAAAAAAATAAAAAAACGCAGTTAGGTGGGTTGGTTGGCGGGGGATTCACCGCCTTGTCCGCTTCACAGTTGGGCTGAAGCCAGGGGGTGCAGGGGGCGGGGGGGCGGGCGGGAGATCACTCTCTCTTTCTGGTAAAAAACAAAACTATTTCAAGGAGGCCCGGGTACGTTACCACAATATCTACAATCGATGCGGAAAATCAACCGGAAAATGGGAAATCCGGAACTGAAAATCGAGTATGGCGCGCTGATTGGAGTACTCGCCAGCTGCGGTTCGTGGAAATTCATGCTCGTGTTCCGCGAACAAACGGATACTCTCAGCATGCCGTACAAAGGGGCAATATAAAACACGAGAAATGGGTACGGTACATTCGAGCATGCGGCTCTCAAATGCCAACGTGAACATGGAACTTTTTCGCCAACTGCTTGCCACTCTCTTGAAAAAATCAGGCATGCCGCTACAGCAAGCAGTATACTCCGTACAAGCGGCATGTTAGAATGAGGCTGGCATCCAGCAGAGCAAAACGCATCCCGTTGAGCACGAACTACTCCGAAATACGAGAGAGAATACCAAGAAGTCATCGATGTTAAACTATTCCCCTGTTCTACGGCACAAGTGTCGACGTGGGGCATCCAACGACAAATGCTCGCTGCGTCCGTAGCACATCGTTGCGAGAGGCCGGCATACTCGAGCCCACCTATCGTTCGTTGCCATTTCGGTGCCTAGGATAACGCTCTCGTCTCCTGTGACCCTCGTGTCGTGTCTTGTCTTGTTTCGAATCATTGCACCAGGCGCTATCGGAAAATTTCCCTGTCTTTCGTTCTTACTGGCAAGCGTTTGTTTATACTCCAGTTTTCGAGTTCTTTTTTGCGATTTTTACCAAGCTCCTGCCGCCGGACTCGACGCACAAAATCTACACTCGAAATCGAGCTTCGATTTGTATTTTCGATTCGCACTTTGCAGCGGCAAGCCCCACCATCAACACAACACATGACACCGTGCCAAGTTACGCCGATTTACCTTCATATGCTGGGGGTCATCGTTGTCCAGCTTTTTGTCTGTTCGAGGCGGCAAGCCGTCCAAGACATTGACATCGACGACGCAAAAGGAATACAATAGAGTAGGCGGGAGGGAACAAGGGTTGGCTTCATGAACGGTACTCCGTGAAAAACGGCGGGTGGTATGGGAAGAGTCTAGCAGTTGCCCAGCCTAAGCTACTAGCGCATTTCCGCACACGCCTTTCCTACCATCACAGAGGCGAAGTACTCATGTGACAAACGCCTGGCGGATGACACGACACCAAGCACAACCAACGCGTATCCCACACCAACACAACCAAGAGAAAACCAAAACCAGAACCATGTTGTGCATTTATCGTTGCTCTCTCTCCCCGCCCCGATTACCGGAGGTAGACAGAGAGCCTACCTGCATGCGTGCTGCACGACTTTTGTCCCCGTTCTCCCCCCCTTCGACGCCTACCAAAAAAGGACAAACCCCTCCGTTTTGGCCCACGCAGCACGACAGCCGAAACACGCATAACAACGCTAGAAAAAACAAAACAAAAAAACGGGACAAAAGCACCTGGGAACTCCTTCGGCCAAAGAAGAAGCATCGCGTAGCTGATGCAGTGCTCCGGCATGCGGGGAGTCTCCGCGATGGTGCACATGGGGAACACTTTCTGGGGAGGGAACATGTCCAGGGAGCACTCGAAGCAGGAAGTCACCTGCGGAAGTATGACCCTGGCCTGGCCCTTGAAGCCTGACGAGTCACGGCAAGAACAAAGAGAGAGAAACACGAACAAAGATCGTAACGTCAATTCCAGAACAAGACATGTACTTTCGGGGGTTGGGGTAAGAGTTTCGACGTGGTTCAGACCACCACGACCAGAGAAAAAACAGGGTCGAGAAAGTGACCTAAACCATTAACGTCCGAAATTCTGGTCTAGAAAGGGGCGCGGCAGCGGGCAGTTGAAGAGGGCGGGTAGAGAGCAACAGTGACGGTAAAGACAATGGTAGCAAGGTACGCCTTCCACCTCTCGAAATACATGGAGTGTAATCCATTTAGAGGTCTAAATCTGACCTGCTGAAGATAGTTCCAACTCCTCAACCTATCAAACAACACCACAAAAAGAAGCACGGTCATGTTCCTCTCACCCTCAGTGCCCCCGTCGATGAGAGGGATGATAGTCGTAGGGTCGGAGACGTTGCCGTCATCGTCCAGCTCTACCAGCGAGCACAGCATCGAGTTCAGCCATCGCCGAGCCTCCACATTGTCAAGGCCGGAGATGACCACCCGGAACTTGGGAGGCAAGGGGGGGGGGGGGGAGGGATGGCGGAACCCCGGTTGGGTTGGGTACGGGTTTCCGCCAAATGTTGAGCTGGCGGGACTTGGCACCGTGACAACAACAGACCACGGCATCAGCGACAACCGCAGCGGCAAACCTCATCAAGGTCAACACCAAACGGAACCTATTCATACAAACATAAAGACAACTTCTAGAGAGGTCTCTCGTGTACTCGAAACCCGTCGTGTGCAGGATTGCCGTTTTTTGTCTTCACATATAGTCAGTGCTCACAGCACTTGTGCCGTTTACTCCCAACCCGTGGTCACACAGCAGGGTTCCTCTCCCTCAGGCCCCCTACCCACCCCACCCCTCCTGCGGTATCTGCTTTGCCTTCGATTTTTTATGCGAGAAGAGCGCAGCACTCTCTGCCCTCTGTGTAAGCACGAACTAGCCATTTCCACCCATGAACGCACGGTATTGTATCGGACATCAACACGCCCCCCCCCCCCCCCCCCGTCATCATGCACACACAAGGGCTACACTACTCACTTCTCGGTAGAAGTCCGCATCGAAATCCTGAATCTTGGCGTGGTGAGCCTCTACCTTGCAGCCCTTCACCCTTGCCATGATAGCCTCTGCTGCAACCGTTGCCTTCGGGCGCCCGACGTCCTTCTGTCGGAACAGAAACTGCCTGTACCATCCATCCACACAAATGTGCGGCGTTGTTGTGCAATAGCAAGGACAAGCACATATAAGTATGCACACGCGTTCGCGTTTTCAAGCTTCGCTCCGCCATGTGCTGACGGCTTTCCACACATTCAACCGGCTAGCGCGGTCGTTGATACTCGTTCGTGCGAGTAGAAAACCCAATAACGCATCAATCCTTCGGCGGGTCCCCCGTTCCTTGCACGAATGTAGGATTGATGGGTTTCTTTCTCTCAACCTCTCTGGTGTTGGCTGGAACCCGATACCCGGCGGAGCCTTGACTGATACTACGTGCTAGAGGCTGGGAGCCTGGGAGTGAACTGACTCGGTAGGGGGCGTCAACCTTGTTCACGTGCCCACAACCCGTAGCGCTCGCGGCGTTCATCTCATCCAGCCCAGCTGTCGACGCCACCCCCCTGGAGCGACCACGTGCAATCACTGGAAAAAAAACCGTACACCTGCTGCGACTGCTTGACGCTCGGGAGGCCGTCCCCACCTATTGAGGTTGGAGACATCGATGGAGTCCATGTCGATGACGGTGATATCGGTGATGGCAGAGAGTGCGAGGTCCTTGAGCAGTTCGCAGCCCAAGCCGCCGGCGCCGATGACGAGAACCTTGAGCTCCTCCTCCAGCAGCTCCGCCATCTTGCAAAGGGCAAAGGATTGATTGAGCAAATGTTAACGTTGTCCCAGTTTCGATTCGGCGCAAGACTGCTGTGTTTTATCAGGCAAGAGGTAGCAGTGTGAGGAAGGCGCGCGTCTTCCACTGCCAAAACGACACGCAACACCAAAGTTCCGTAAAACAGATAAAACCTCTGCTGTATCGGTGGCCAGTCTATTACTACTTCAGGAATCTAGGCGAACAAACAATGGTTCAGAAGTCAACGGCTACGAACTTCCAGGGACTACAACAGGCACTCGGCCGTCTAGAGAGCCCCCGTCTCCAGCTCCCCGGCGTTCGCGCTTCTTCTCTTCAATGACTATCTTTCTCACATTTTCGAACGGTTCGAATTCCCCGACAGCAAGCTGGCCGGTCTCGTTGCCGAACGGCGAGGGTCGAGAGACTAGCTTCTCGAGCGCGCTCCAGCGTTGACTCGGGTCCTCCTCGACCTCTTGCCCCTGCCCCCCCTCCTGCTGCTGCTGCTGCCTTTCTCGAGAGCGGTCGGCGCCGCTGGCATCATGGTCGGTGTCGGTGCTAACGTTGGTGACTTCGGTGGTGGATGTCCTGTCGCTGACGACCAGCATCGGCTCTACGCCGTTCACGGACACTTGCTCGCCATTGTTGGCGTTTTCTGAGGTATGCAGTATCACGCACAAGAGGACAACACACGCGGGGCACATACGCTTTAATCCGGAGAAATGCCTAGCTTCCCCCACGACGGACCCCAGCTCAAGACCTACGATGAACATCTTCAGTTTTAATGCGCATTGAGACAGACGAAATTTCGTAGTCCGCCGGTTAGCACGGTCGATGTTAAGTTAGCATGGTGACAATCTAACAATGACCACGCCGGGGTACAGCAGTATCGATTGACCTTCTCGTGAAGTTTCTTCTTCAAGTCTGGACCTGTTTTCATACTTAGTTGGAGAGAGACGCACCCTCGTCAGTGCTGCTGCTGTAGGCTACGTGTGTATCTACGGGCGTGGCCTGGAGGGAGAGTCTGTGCACATTTAACAGAAAGGGTTTTTCCATGTCAGGACTGCAACAAACAACGCGATCGGAGTCACGGCTGGTTTGAAAGTTTGAAAAAAATTCCATGGTACATTTGTATCTCAGGTGCCGCAGGCTCATCTCTCTCGCAACAGTTACATCGTGTTGACGTAAACCCGTGTGCTTGTATAAGTAGTGCTGGGCAGCAGTGATCCGCCTGATCGAGTCGCACGCTAGTATTTTAAACACATTGCTGTGCGAAGTAATCATAGCACATGAACTGCCGCGGGTCTCTGGCATGCGGCCACAGCAGCACGGTGATTGCCATGCAAAGTGCCTCAAGTGCAAGGCAACCACCGCGCGTCCTCTCTCGCTAGAGTATATACAGCAGTAGATACAATCGGACCAAACGCCAAAGCATCAAAGGATGCAACAGAGACTACAGTACGCCAGACATCGAATTCCCAAACCCAGAGTTAACGTAACTTCTGTTCAGGATGAAACTAGGGAAGGAAACGAACGCAGCTCGCAACGAAAAGCACAAGCACGACAAGAGAAACGAGAGAACGAGAGAGCGGAGAGAGAGGATTCGCTCAGAGTTCGCCAAAGAGAGAGGAGGGAGAAAAACAAATAGGAATGTTTCACGTAGGGGGCACACAGAGACCAATCAGGCTCACCATCGGCCGTGCTGTTGTCCATAGACTTTCTTTTCATCACAACTTTGCCCACAAGGTGGTGTGGTCGCTCTCTCTGGCGCGGTAAGTGCTGATGGTGCTGGCTCTGCTGCTGGTTGTCTGTGGACAAAGAATATGACTCTTATAAAACCAGATGCGGCAAGCCAGGGGGGTACGTGATTGATGATCGAGATGGGACGGGAGCTTCTTTTGAAGTTATCCCTATTGCGTGCGCCCCCATCATGTGCTGCGCTCTTGCTGCTGCTGTGTGTTGCTGTCAGAGTCAACCTGAGTGTCAAGTGCACCCCCCTCTCTCTCACCCCCCTCTCTGCGCTGCTACACCATGGCACCAGCTTCGACGCTTGTTTCTCCCGCAGTTGCATTAGTACTTGCGTTTCTAACAAGTGCCTCCGCATTTGTTTCGACTTGCAGCTCTACGTCAGCACTGCAGCTGTTATCATGTCATCGGCGGCGAGGGTATCCTGCTGCTGCTGCTGTATCGCCAGGGATGACGATGATAAGTCCTGTCCGGATGGTCTCCGATAGTGTGGCAGAAGTGAAGTCGAAGGTGCTGCAGCTCGCGGCGGCCATGGACAGAGGTGGCATGGCAAACCCAGGCAAGTGCCAATGTCAACCTGCGAACACGTAACGATCTTTCCGCGCTGCTTGGTTTGTTCTGACTGGACGGTATCCTGCAGCAACTGTAGACTACATGTACACACCATAATTAATAGGGCGAAACAACAACATACATGTAAATCGTTCGAGACTTCATCCCTGATCCCACCTTCCTCGCTTTCCGTGAACAGTATCACGCAGAGCCCGACCTCAATGCCTGCAGTGCAACAGCAATCATGTGGAGGTACATATCTCAGAGGTCTGTCAACCCCCATCGATGCAATCGCCCATGCTCGTGGTACGCAGTCTGCGTGGCCTAATTGTTCTTTGATAGGGCAATTACGGCTATAATGATTTATGCGGTACACCCGCACCGGGGAAGGTATTGAATCACCCTAACTTATACATATACTCCAAGGATTCATCCGTCGCACTACTGTACTTGAAATAGAGTGCGTAGGTGGAATTTTTTTTTCGATTTTTTTTTTTTTTTGCGCACGCTGCGCACGCCTTGTGTAGGACGGAGTACGACAGCCTTGGGCTGCCCCCGACCGCCAAAACGATTGACTAACGGAACTTGTACTCTCAAACTTGAGCAATGGTCGTGATCGGATGAGTGAGTGTGGTGAAGAATTCCAGACATGCACGACATGCGGTATCTTGAGTAGCGCACGATTACGCACACAGAGCGGCCACCAAAATAGCCGCTAACCACATCTAGACTAATATTGTGGCGCGTGTACACGGCAGAGCAGTGTGGACTTTAGTTCAAGCACGTCTCACATGTGTTACTAGGGTTCGGACGTTAGGTCGGGCGAGTTCGCGGGTTTGGGGTTCGGTCAATCCGTGAAGACATGCGCGACAGCCGCGCGTGCACATGAGCACCGAAGTACGGGAGCAAAGGATTGGCAGTACAGAGAACTGCTGTGCGCAATGTAAACAGCAGCCAACACCCTCAACACGTCTTGTATATATGGGCTATGCAGGAAGTCACCACACAATCCCAGGACGTCGCTATCCCGGCCATACAACGGGTACGGAAGCCGTCAAGCCGTGAAGATGGAGACATATCGTTATCGTTTGGAGCACTGCTGTAGCGGAGAGAACTTGCCTTCCCCTGCTACGTGTCAACAGCAGTACGACACCGACCGCGTTCAACACGCAATACGCCGTGCCTCGCCTTTCCGTTCTAACGCGAAATGCCTACAACAGCTACATTTTGCACTCATCAACTTGCTTCGACGAACGCCATACCCAACCTTGATGCACGTTTACTCTCAGCCGGTGTGCTGTACGCAAGCGGCTCGCTCAGCGAACCAGCGCAGACGTTTCCACGAGTTTCCTTCACACGAAACAAACGGAACCGCAAAAATGGTGTTGTGGTCATCTGTGTTGTAACTTGTCTTTCCGACGTACGAACGATGGGAAATATGTTGTTACTCGACGTGAAGCCACACATTCTTCAATTCAAACTCTAGACAGTCAGATAATTGTACATTGGTTGCCGCCGCGTATCACCATTACTTTCATCGCCACTCACCAGGGCGTTAGCTTCAAGCGAACCTTTTAAGCGGGGGAAGAACAGCGGTATTGACGCTGGCTCTTTTCCCATTCTTTTATCCTATACAAAGAAAGAAAAGAACCTTCCCCCCAGGGTTAGGATAGGCATTCTATTGCCATCAGTAGAGGACACCATGAATAGGCGTCGTGCGTGCTGGCACGTTCAGGTTTGCTGCTGGAGCGGAAATAAATATCGAGGGTCGCGGCAGTCTCTGAAAACTGCCCAAAATCTGCGCCGGAACCAAGCGGCACCCAACATTTGTCACAGCCATGCTCACCGCCACGGACGGTAAGCCCCTGAACGGAGGGGTGTCAGCAGTAGCTAGTGGCATCAGCTACTGCTGTAAACCCGTGGTTCAGGAGATTTGGGTCGGTGGCGGCGAGCGTGGCTGTGACAAATGTTGGGTGCCGCTTGGTTGCGGCGCAGATTTCGGACTGTTTTCAAAGGCTGCTGCGACCTTAGATATTTCAGCTCCAGTAGCAAACCTGAACATGTCAGCACGCACGACGCCTCTTCATGACGTCCTCTACTGATGACAATAGAATGCCCAACCTAACCCTCAAAACTGACCTTATTTGAGCGCCTTCCGTTTTGGCTCTTTTTGACTCGAAGTTCTAGAATGAATGTTGTGAATTTTGATCTTGAATTCAAAGGAGGCTTGGGGAGGTAGACGCGTGAAATGTATGTTTTGAGCAGCCTCTACTGCCACCCTGTGCGAGAACCAACGATTTCTGTTTTTCGCGATGCCTTCCGACTCGTCTTGTGTGTCTGTTGTACAATTTCTAGACCTCTTGCGTTTGTTTTCAAAATTCGTCAACATCAAAATTGCTTTTCTTCCCCCCCTTAACTTGCGGCAATACTCGCGGCGTAGATCTTTTGTCATTCTTCGCGGTGTTGTTTGGTTTTTTCTTCTGCCTGTTTTTATCGGATCCTGCAGCCTCCACGCCGTTATCGGATGGTTCTTACAGTAAATAGAATCTCCACAAATCATCTCTTTTTGGGCAAGCCTTCATCGCCTTCTTGGCATACAGGTAGGTATCCGTGCGTTCTCACCACACATTACGCGGTGCCACGCCTTTCCACTCTCACCGGCGCACTGGAACAGATTCTCATCAGCTTTCCAACTTTTTCGCCGTCTTCATTTCTTTCTCCCCTTTCACCGTCGTCGTCGATTGCTCTCGCTTGCGATTCGGACCCCCTCGGGCGCGGGGGCCGTTCAGTACCCTAGTTTTTTTCTACCCACCGGTGGGATGGTGGGGTACAGAAGCCTTACTTACCCAGGCACCTGATTCTCGCCCCCCGCAGACTCGAGTGACGGGACACAACCATGTCTTGCTACGTACGACCCAGGGCTGTTTCTACCGCGAGACCCATCGCATGTCATCGAAATCCCGAAACGGTTGAGGTTAGGTGTGGCCACGGCGGGTGGGGAAACAATAGCGGGGAAAACAACCGGACTTACCCCGTCACTAGCGTGTCACTCGGCAAGACTCGAATCGAAACACGAGCGCCGTGGTTGATGCACACGCAGCACACACCAGCGAGCAACAGCTGAGGGGCGCGGGGGGCGAGTACCCCCTGTGCGCAGCCCCGAACACGTGCAGTGGAAACCGAACATGACCTTCTCTCTTCTTGCATACAGTCTTTTCCTTCAACAACACTAGTGGGTCACTGCTGCACCTCGCTCCATAACATTACTATGTAGTGGGTCATGGAAGAGGTTTTGGTGCATTGCAGTGCTATCGTGGGACCCACCGTGAAGCCGGAGGGAATCAGGTTACGTACATGGGTGCTCCCGTACCCTGTGGGGACACAAAACAAAATTGGAAATGACCTATGTTCGCCACCGGTGGGAAAAATAGCCTGATTTCCCACCACCTTGATCGCGCCCTACAAGACTCGAATCGCGCCACAACGCCATGGTAAGAGAGTGTGGTTGATGCACACACAGCGCACAGCAGCGGGGAGCAACTGAGAGGGGGAACATGTCAACAATTACAATTCCCTCCGCAAGGCCTCGAACACGCCTTTGCAAACTGTGTAAACCCGAACACTCGTTTCTTCTATTCTACCACGGTACACTTTTTCTTTGCACACAACTAGCCGCCTCACAATTATGCAGGGCAGTGCTGATCATGTGACTAAAACCTACCTATTGGTTATGAGACCAAACTGAAAAAAACACGTTTGGTTCTCACTGCCATCGCTTCTCGAACCACTGCTGCCGAGCACAAATCTGACAAGAGTCTCGTGTCTGCCTTGCCCCCTTCGCCCCAACCCTCGCGTTCGCACGTTGCAGGCGTATCGAACGCCTACTTGGGGACCAAGGACGACATGCGGCTCCTGGTGGAATCGCTCGCGGAGCTAGACCCAGTCAACAAGCCGCTCACCCCTTCGGAGCTCAGCGGCCGCTGGGAGTTGGTTTACACCACGGTCGAACTTTTCCGCGCATCCCCTTTCTTCCAAATGGTGAGGGCTCGAAGGGGGTGACAGGAGAGGGTTGAGGCAGGAAAGGAGAGGACAGAATGCACAAAGTACCGAGGGAAAAGGGACCGAGGCTTTCCCCGCTTTCCTCCAAAGTCAACGGGCTATCTACAATTTGTATCATGTGTCCCTGATGCCATGCCATGATGTGGTAGTGTGGTACAGTAGCGATGACGCACAAAGTGTGAGCCCCCGTGAGAGGTATGGCTCCGTCTCCGTCAGATGGACGACGAAATTTTTGCACCCCAAGAAGCGCGTCTTGATCGTGTCCTTTGTACTTGCCTCCTTGTTCAACCTCGAATGGCTGGTTCGTCTCCCTTTCCAGTGCAAACAGTTCCACAGACAGAAATTGATCTAGGTTCGCGTTGTCTCGTCGACGCAGCCAGGGACAAAGAGTGCATGTAACGCCGGCTGGTCTCTCCAGACCATCACGTTCAGTTTCGCGGCTTACGTTTGTCTCCCACGCGCATTTGGACACGTACACGTACCACCCCTAGGTCGAGGCCGGCTACGACGATCCCGAAAAGTCCAACTTGTTCTTCAAGCTCCACCAGCTTCAGACCGGATCTTGGGGTGCTAGCAAAATCGGCCGAGTCACACAGGTACAGACGGACGAGACGGGTCGGGGAGATGTTTGCCTGTGTAGATAGGATGCGTGCACGAGATCCTGAGAACGTACCCCTCCGCCTCCCTTGCACCTCTTTTCCCGCTATTTGTCTTCCTGGGCCTACCGACCGCGCCACCAAGCGGACAGGTAGTTCGAAATGGTGCCAGCCAGGCGCGAGATAACGTAAACGGTACAAACATCTTCCATTCAGCGCCCTGCTCGAACTACCCTTGATGTTCTTTCTACCCGTAGGGCCTTCAAACTGTACCCACTCCTCTGTCTTCGAATTGTGTGCTCGTGCCCTCGTTTGACTAACAACTTTTTCCTGCCCGCCCCCTCCCCGCGCTTCCGTCGGACATGCACACGACCGATTTTCCACAACGTCACCGATACCTCCATCTACTGTACCCCTGTAGACCTTGGACCTCATTGATTCGGTCCCGCCGAGCATAGAAGGGGGGGATGCGACCGCCACGCCAGCAGCCGAAGCAGAAGCAGCGGCAGCAGGTGCGATCGAGGGGAGCGACAAAGCGGGAGTAGTCGAGGACAACACCGACGTGTCTGGCGGCAGCGGCTCCTTGGAGTCGGAGGTGAGACTGTCGGGGAACAACCAGGCCTCGCACGAGTTATGCACTCTCCACCGTCCGTGTTGGGTTGTGGCTACTATTGCATCCGATGGAGTGTACCGTGGTGGGTGTCCGGTACTTATTTCCTGCCAAAGGAATGAGCAAGTGTATGAAGGACTATGAAGCAAGTACACCTGTAGCGGGACCAATGTATAGCCGAGCGTGTGAAGTCGGTGGACGCTGACGTCGCTTGGTATTACAATGGCGCAGCATTCACAGGTGTGTGACGATCGGTAAGGCAGGCACCCTTGGTACACTCAGGCAGATGTGCAACGTCGGGACTCTCGTTGCGCTTTCGGTCTTGGGGGGGGACTAGTAAATGCTCCATAGCAGTTTTTGGAGTCGTGCTTCCCGTTGATCCTCTGCTCGTTGGCTTGGCGCAGAGGTTGTCCGTTCGTCTCGACTATTATAGCTGTCCGGAGGCAAGCAAATCCCGCTGATTCCTGTGTAGCCTGCGTCTGTTGACAGAGTGCAAAACCCGTGCCATGGCTATCACCACTGGCTTTCCTCCTAGAATATGACAGCCTTGTGCTTCCTGACCTTTTGCATACGCCCCGAACCGCACTCCCGCTCACGTTCTATTTTTCACTCATCTGACGTCTCCTGCGCCTACCCTCTTCTGTGCCTTAAGGTGGATTTGATAATTCTACCGCTGACGTCCGTGCCGCTGGTGGGTTTCTGGAAGCTCCTGCCGACGTTCGGGGGATGCATCGCCACTAAGGCCAAGTGTTCTCTCGCGGGGGACAACAATGAAGTGGTTCAGGTCCGTGAGCACGCGTGCGGAAATAGCTTGTGTTCTTGTGTGTGTGTGTTTTTTTTTTTTTTTCACTGTGTTGGTATGTCCATGTCTATGTCCATGTCTATGTCTATGTCTATCTCTCCCACTCGGAGAGTCAAGGTGTGTTTGCCCATGTTGATTATCTTGCGGTGCGGCTAGTATCGCGTAGTGCTCGTTTCCAGGCCTCCCAATGTGACTGTAGTTGATGGCGGTTCAAGACATGAAGAATGTGGTTGACGACTGCGGTTAGGTTCGCGCTTTGATATCATACCACAGCAGCAACCTAGTAGCCGACATGCCGATATGCTGTGAGGTGTTGCTGGTGATGCGTCTCATTTGGTGCGCACACTCGGAGGGAGCTGCATGTTCACGGTTCAAACTGCACATTGACGCTCGGTTGGCCTCAAGACCCTCCACGGGGGGTCATGACATGTGGCACCCTCGTTATCTGTGTTTATTTATTTTCCACAATGTTACATCCCTCCCATGGTTTCGGCGCCCGCCCACAGCTGGTTGTAGAGTCGACAAAGCTCAAGGCGGTTGAGGACGTACCGTTGCTTCCTCTGGCGGGGCCCCTCTTCGAGGGAATGGAATTTCCGACGGGGGAGGTCACCAAGAAGGTCAGGTTGAAGAATGAAGTCTCTCCACGGCTGAGACCCCTCGTGCCTGGCTAAATTGGACCGGTTGCAGTTCGGTCGACGCTTCCTGGTTCGAAGGCGAATTGAATGGAACGGGCGCTGTCAACCATGGTACTTCCGTTTTTGGTGGTTCCCAATGCACGAAAGCAGCCCTGATCTGCCTCTCTCCCGTACCACCCACGCGTGTGTTCTCGTGTCATTTGAACCAACCGTGTCTTCTTTTTTGCGGTCTGGAGGTTGTTGTCGTGCTGTTGGTGCTGATTCCTTCTGATGCCGCCCTCGTTCAAGTTTGCCAGTTATGTTGTAGTGGGGGTCGTACGGTTGTTGGTGAACTCAATTTTTGAGTGCATCCTTGTTCCCGATATGTGCGTTGATGGATGATCGTATTTTGACAGGTTATGGGGAACGTGCCGGTGACCAAGCAAACAGTAGTGTACATCGACGACACCTTGAGAGTGATGGAAGACAAGGCCGGCGAGCTTTACATTTACGCCAGGTGACCAAACAGAATAATCTACAAAAAACGCTCGTGCTATTCAGTCCTGTGATGCACGTTTTTGTCCACCTGTGCCGCAAGCATCATCCTCAACAAGTATGTGATGGGATGTACAGTAGTTGCAAGTGCTATACCTGCGTTCCCGGCGTATCGCGGCAAGATGTAGTGCCGTTCCGAACCACCTGTTCAAGTCGTTAATTCTTGGGTGATTCGAGCGGAGGGTAAATCGATTGCAGCCCATGTATTGAAGCTTGTCTATGAACCATGTACAGCGCTTCTCTTTAATTGTGCATTGTTGTGGTCTCTTTCCATGGCCTCCCACCAACGCTGATGCCCGTCATGCCGCTCTCACAAGCACATTCGTTCTATCCGTTCATGATGACCAAACCTTTGCGCCCTCCCCGCCTGTTGCCTACCACAGGCCACTCAAGAGCTTCTAGGAACGGGTTTGATGAACCAGATCCGTCGCTGACCGAACACGGTAGAAGTGTAGAGGGGTCGGTGCGGTGCCTGTGCCTTGCATGTTGTGGGTCTCGTAGACCGTTTCCAAACGGATTCACAACACGTGCACCAGCAGTTGGTTGATTTTGCCCGAGGTCGGTTAGGTGCAGTACTTGCTTGGGGCGCAACTGGAGCTGGGAATTCGTCCAATGGCGGCCACGTGTGTGTTGCCCTATAGGCAGATAGGCAGACAGTCATCGCACTTCGATGTATAGAGTATATGGCGTACCGTGGGGTGTTAAAATCTCTCTGCCTTTCCTTGGTTAGCTTATTAAATGAAAAGTATTGATGTTTGTGGCCGAGATAGCGGCCAAGCTTGAAACAAACCTCGTTCCGGAATTATGTAAGTCCCCAAGTTTCCAAGTTTTCAGGATTTGATTATTTTTTGTTCGGTGGTTGTGTCAGTCCTTAACGAAACCGCGTCCAGCGAAGGTTTTTGTGTGTGAACTTTCCAGGAGATGATTCAGCGCCAGGGTTCAACAACGGTTGCGCACCCCGAACTTTTCGTCCCTGCTACAGCGTTTGAGGTGGCTACGCTTTATGCGATTTCTTGACAAATACAAAGACATAAAACCGAAGCCAGTGTGAATTCGTTTGGGGCCTCCCGGGCAAAGAGCAACTTGCAACATACACCAGGCCCAACAACCTGTAGCGCTCTACCGGTGGGCATTCTTGGGTAGCCTCACGGCAGCAGTATCCATCTCGGTGTTTATGTGTTGCCTATACCGGCTTCACGACGAAAAGCTTGCAAGTGATACCCTACGACGAACAAGACACTACGTTGGAGAGTGGACATGCGTGTGGCAAAAGGTGTTTCGAATTTTTACCAGCTATTGTACGGTACACGAGTAGCATTCTGAGAAGAGGCGGAGATGAGAGACTATGTAGATACACAGCTCACGAAACGGGGAAGCACCCTGCCAACAAGAACACACCGATATGGCCGGGTTTCTTTGAAACGCAATTCTAGGACGAGGGCAGCAGCTACGTAGCTTCAGTACAAGGCTTTGCCTTGTGAGGTGAGGGTGCCTGTGGCGCCGTGGCGCCGTGGTTCCCCGCGGAAGTTAGGCCGCATTGCGGCCTAACTTGTTCCGGTTCGCGAAGATGAAGAAACGGACCAAAGGGCCGAAGGATAAAGATCGTACGATGCGTAGATCTCCCTTTCTAACATCAACGTAGGTGTTGATTGTTTTGAGTCTTTGCCCTCGAAGTCTCAGTGATCTCTGCTGAAGACTGAGTCCAATGGAGCGTGTGAAAGTCCTCATGGGGATTCAGTGACTTCGGACCAGCTGGACGGACAACAACGCTGTCCTACGGGGTTACTTTGTAACTTCGCGCTCACGCTACCGCCGCACTTCGAGGCCTATGGATGGCACCAGGGCACCACCTTCAGAACCTGCAAAAGGAGATCAAGACAGCCTTCTCCCGGACGAAGATGTTGTCACGAAGCTTCAGCAAGGGCAAGCGGTTAAAGCCGATGTTCGCGAAGCTTTGGCCAGGTGATTACGTGTGACTGCTGTGTGCGACGATGACTTTGCCAATAGAGACAACACGTGAACATAATAGCGGCAAAAATCCGTGGGGTATCATGAAAGTGCTCTATGCAATGCACATGTAGGGACCAGTCGCTAGTATCTGCGTTTACGGTGCAATATCGTTGATCTAAAGTAGTAGTGGGTTTCCACGACAATCTATCGGCCCATCATCCTTCCGTGCACAGAGGGAAGAGAGTCTCGTGCAACTCGTCGCTTTAAATCCGCACGCAAAGTACCGCGGGAGGGGTGGGTAGGGGCCTAAGAAAGGGGAACCCTTCTGCGTGACCACGGGTTGGAGTTACCTGTGAGCGCTGATTTGAAGTGAAGACAAAAAAAAGAAAATTATCCTTTGGTCAACGATGCGTTTTCGCCAAGATCTTCTTCGTACGGCGGTGTGTAAGCGTTGGCTGCAGGGGAAGTGGCTTAAAACTTCGAAAAATGGAAAAGAAACGAAGACCCCGATACGCAAAGGCTAGTGCGAATGTGTAACCTTGTTCATTTTTCTTTCTATTTTCTCTCTTGCCCACACACTCGGTCACGATGGGTCGACATGTAATGCAGACTGGCTTCGGCCCTGTCCTCGGTATCCGACAACGACACCATCATCCGCACCGTGAAGCATCGCTTTGACGAACGCAAGGAAGCGCGTGCCGACTTGTGGAGGGTGACTGAGGAGGCGAGGGCGGAAAAGGAGAGGAGAGACTGCCTAAATAAGGCGCAGGCGGACAGAGAGTCAGCTCTTCAAAACGAGGTACGATGCGTACATCACTGTACCGTGTGTGACCAACAGTTCGGGAGTTGGATTCTACATTCGGAGTCCGTCTGCAAAAGATAGTCAGTTAATTATGAGAGTTTCTACTTGGGAACGATGTGGGCCTCGCATTATTCTTGAGCTTGTCAACACGGTGGGGGCTATGGCAGATTGATCGTTCGTAAGTCCAAGTATTTGGAGATAAACACTTGCTGCCAGTGAGATCGTGTGCCTGCGCCGCGCCGGCAATATATCTGATTAGACTACCTTCAATTTTCTACGTACTGTACTTTTTGGGTTCACCCATCACACGCAACTGCGAGCAACTGCGACAACCTTACGCGTGAAGCCCCCATCGCTGTGGCCAGGGGCACACGCATCACAACACCAAGTGTGCATTTCCCCCTACGCATTACAGGTGGAACGTCTAGAGCGCGCAGTGAAGATTGCTGAAAATTCCTGCACAGATACCCAACGAGAGGGGGAAAGAGCTGCTGCTTCAGCGGACAAAGAAATTTCCAGGTGCGTGAGTGATCAAGACTGTGTCATTGTGTCGTCAGACACATAATTCGAACGCCGGCTTGCCACTGCTGTAGACTAGTACTCATTGGGCTGTCTGCCTGGAGGTGAGGATTGTTCACTTGCATCCCAACGGTGTTTTCACATGGGTTCATATAAGTATGTCAAGGGGAAACCAACTGTCTCCTACCTGGCTCACCTTCTTCCTGATTCCATGACCAGCTTTGAGCTAGCCCGATAGTCGGTTTGGCGAGACGAACGCACACCAATGATGGCGGTTGACCAGAAAGTGATGCTTGTTGTCTTCGTTTGCTATCCCCTCGCTGACAGGCTTCGTGAAAAGTCTAGCTCTGCGGAGAAGGACGCCGCAACATGGCAGCAGAGAGCCAACGCAGGGGAGTTGAGGTGCGAACGTGACTTCTAGAAACACCGTCAGCGCGTTCCATGAAGAAAGATAGACAACTAATGTATCTCGACACGTTCATTCTAATGTACAACAATGAGCCCAGAAATCGATGCTGGGAGTCCTTTACATGCCTGGGTAGGAATGGTCAGCGACCGCTTCGAAGGGGGAGCTTGTACGATGAAACGGTTAACACTTTGCCTTCATGTGCGTGGGCATCTGCGCCTCGCTGCAATACACCATCAGTATCGGTCGCTGTGGACACAGAATATGCACTACAGTAATGGCGTACACGTCTTCGAAACGTGCTGCCACATCGGTTGGGGACAATCAACGACCAGGCTGGAATCAATGACAGCCGAGGTCAGCGCTCTCCACGAGGCAATGGCAGGCCTCCATGGCGAAATGGGGGCTGTTCAGCGAGAGCTAGACGGTACCAAGACCTCACAAGACAAACTGGCAGCAGGTGGGCGGGCTGGGCGACGAGGCTAAAGGGAGATGCCGTTCTACGAGCAGTCTATGCAGATATTCCATGCATTGGAAACGAGGTCTTCATGCTAGAAACGTACATACCACACATGGTTTTCACCCGTGGAGGGCGCATCGACCTCAACCTACGCCTCCGAAGGAAAAGGCCTTGGAGTAGCTGTAGGGCCGCTGTGTGTGGCAATCAAGTGGCCGACATGGAGTTTCATCTCGATTCAAACATTTTCCTTGCATGCCGGGCTATTCCATCTCCTCCTTACTGTGAAACCGTTTCGCGTAGACCTGTCCCGGGCGGAGGGCCGGTACCGGAAATCCCAGGAGGCATGTTTGTCAACCATTGCGAAGGCCAAGGACGCAGAGAAGAGGCTGAGGAAAGAAACTGAAGAAAGAGAGCGGGTGTCCGCTGAGCTTGAGAAGTTGGTTCAGGTAGCTGGTGTTCTACAGGTCAAGTGTGAGGCGTCAAGGAGTAGTTGATGCTGTTGTCTCAGGTTGCTTTGCTGAAATAGCACTCGAGGGTGAGCTGACCCAAGCCGGCATGCGCCATTCGTTATCCGGCGCTGGCCTTGGTGTTCGCCCTTTCACTGTCGGGGGGATGCTCAGTAGGTTCCCGCGCCGGGTGCGCTGATATTTAGTTACGGGTAGCTTGTCGCCTTTCGACATGTATCTCGGCTGTCGTTCGCTTCGTTGATGACGTACTCCTTGCGTGGAGAACAACAGCAACAAAATTCAAGTTTGTTTCAAAACGGATTCGTATCAAGCCAAAGGGTGCTGCACCTACACCTGGTGAAGGCACAGGATACTCTCCTTCTCCCCGTGCGTTTGTTTCTCCGTTCGTGACGCAGATGTCCAAGGAGGAAGAGACGAAGAACGTGACCCTTACGGCGGAAATCAAGCGTCTCAAGGAGAGCGAAGGGGTGCACCGCAGCGGTAGTGACAAGCTCAACGCCACAAATAGGTGGGGATGCATAGCCGATGCACAACCGCTCTTTGTCAAACGTTCTTCTCCTGCTCGGATGCCCATCGCCCTCGATACCTCCTCTCTGATGCCTAAAACGGACAGCCGACGCCCATGCCCAAACAGCATGGCATACGTTCGTGCTACTTGAAGTGTAAGTGCATTGAGTCTTGGTCTTTCGCTGGAAGAAGACTCCCCGACACCAACTTGGGAAGGGAGTACAACCTTCAAGCTTGTGGAAAGCACCATGCCTCGGGGGCTCAGTCAAGCAATAGACGAATCTCCAACCGTTGGGTAAGGGAAGACGGTACTGTCAAAGGTAATTCCTCCATCGCTCTCTCGGCATCTATGTACAACAGTTGCGGAGCACCGAACACTTGAAACAAGTCTTCAACAGGCGTCAACCGCCTCTCTCATCTCAGTACAAATGATATAAAGGTCGCCGAAAATGTAAATGCAGACAGATGGTCACCCGGAAAGGACAATAGGGACAAGTATATCGTAAGTCTACCTCTGCTCGTGTACGACATCTACTCCATACCTCCATGAATCCACCACCGAAGTTCTCTCGCAGGCCCTCCCTGCTCATCTGCCTCGTCCCCACCCCACCACTCGTCCACTGCTTCACCTCACCAGAGAGCTCAACGCGCTGTTGCAGAGCCTTTCCACTGACCTCGAAGAGGCCAAGGCTGCCGGCGAGTCTAGCGGCAAGCGAGCTGAGGCCTTGGCGCATGAGGTGGGGGTGAAGGAGGGGGATGTTCAGCGGGTCAGGGAGGCTTTGGCGGCGACCGAGGCTAGACTCGCCGCTTCGGGCAGGTAACTCGAACGATAGGGTTTCTCGGTGGTGCCGAACGCGCTGTCTGTGTGTCTTTCTTTCCGCTTTGGTGCGGCCGTCACTTCGACGCATCGTCAAAGCAACATGGAACGATTGCCCTAGGAGTGAACACACGTATCCGAGGCACACCATGCATGCAGCGTTAGGGTTTGTTTTCCCGGAAACTTTGATTTCACGTGTTGTCTTGAATGTTGGCAGGGTGTGGAACTCTTTGTGACCGGACACACCACGAGGTTTTGCATAGGTAAACTTCTGGTGCGTGGGGGAGTCGCGTAACACCGAACAAAACAGTGGTACAACGGCGTTTTTATTCCAGCCACCAGTTGCCCTGAGAGGATATAATGTGGTTTCTGTTTTCGTGCAGCCATCCGCCCGAAGTGACCACGTGGATCATGCCAATGTCCGACCAAGTGGTTTCTTTCTTCTCGCAGGGACAAGGAGTTATTGAAAGAGGCATTGAGCAAGTCATCTGCAGAGGCGCACGCCAAGACAGCGGAGTTCGACCGGCAACGAGGAGAGGTACCCACAAAGTGTTGTCTCGGCTCCAGCCTGTTCCATGACGAGGGTTAACTGTGGGCTGCTAAGATTAATCTCGTGGGACAATCGCTTACAGCTTTCTTTTATAGCTCCCGTTTGCCTTGCAAACGCGTGCTGTTTTGGGATGAAGCGCCCGCTCTTCTAGGCTAACACAAACTTGGCCTGGTGCTTCACTGAGGCTGGTGTTTACACAGTCTACGAACGCGAGAGTTCTACTGTAGTGATTGGTCATCGTATGGCTCGTATCGTAGCATTCCATTGTTGGCATACACATGGACGCGGACGTGCAATTGAACGCTGATTGGAAGGTTGACAAAATCAACAATGGGGTACAGAATAAAACAATCAGATTAATACAACCAAGGAGCGCCTGAATCGGGTGTCTGTCCTAGCTGTCTGTTACCTTATTGTTTTTCAATTGCGCGCGTTGCACACGCGCGCTCATGCCCGACCACATCAACCCAACAAACTGAAGCTGGACCTGCTCGAGCGAGAAAAACACGATTTGGTGCTCGACGTGCAAGAACGAGTGAGGGTGCACAAGGTACGTTGGAGTTTTCGAGGAAATTTCGGGAGGTTGACGAAGGAGGAATTACACCAGCAAATACACCACTGCCGTCGGAGGAGGAGCCCTTGCCTCCATCTGTAGGTCGATTCGGATGTCATTGAACTCTTTAGGCATGTTCGGTCCTCCCCCTCAACGCTCCCCAATGGTATCGACCGAGACGGGAGTTTTTCAACAACGTGTCTGTACGTTGGTACAGGACACGAGGCATGCCAGAGCAATTGCTACCGTTCCTGAGTCTCGTTCTTGTCTCTCCCAAAACGATACACCCGGACGTTGTCCCCAAACCACTGCAGGAAGCGACAGCAGATGCTGAACGGTATAGGGAGCGGCTCGAACAAGCAGAAAACAGGTTGAAGGAAGGAGAGTCCGCCACACTGGCCGCCGAGTTGAGCAGGAAGAAGGTGCGTTGCTTTGAACGTGGATGAAATTGGTCTCCAAAAGCCTTGCCAATCTGAGCATCACGAAAGTGGTTTTCGAGGGGCGTGGACGTTGATTCCGAGGTCAACGCGTCCTCAATACGGCGGGAGTACGGGCAGAGGATGCTACGAGATCATGTCCTTTAGTCGCCCACCCGCTGTCGATTCCGAAGATAAATATGGTCATTCGATGTTGGTCGAGTGGGGTGTCTCGGACCGCCGTGCTGGAGTTTGATGCTATCCCTGCTGTTGGCTTGCTAAAATGTCTTTCTAGCCTGTTACGACTGGTATGTTTGAAGCTCGTGCTGCTAGTCGCGCATCTACACCGCATGACGTAGACTCGTTATTCACTGGCGATGGCACAGGAAAACAATTGACGTACCTGCTGACATGTCGAACAATTCCTACAATACCAGACGCTGGACGAACTTGGAGAGGCTAGACGTGGGACAGTTATGCAGGACGAGCGGATCGAGGCGTTAAGGTGCAGTTTTCTTTCTTTCCATGGTGACCAAGTACGCGTGGACATTAGGATCTCATTTAGTCCGGTTGTACCACCTCATGACCGGGGTTGAACAATATCATTTTCCGGGAGCAACCGTCCTTATGCATCAAGATCTGTTCCGTTTGTGCGAAGCCTGTCAATATATGGCATTTCGTCTGTCCAGCAGCTTTCGTTGTGGCACATGACAGGCTCCCAGGCATTGGTAGTCTGTGACAAAAGTTGTAACTACTGGTGGACGATGTCAACGGGGCTGCCCGTCGTCCTACGAGAACAGACTATATTACATCGGGTGACCTGCTGGGATATAAGACGTGGATTAAACCATGCATACGCTACATATACCTCGGGGCCCCTGAACCCTTTGATTTCTTAAACTCGATCATTCTTTCGGGTTAACTTGTGACAACTGAACTTCTGTTCTTTGCCATGAAACTTTGGGGGAGAGAATGCGCAATATTAACAATTTAACCACAACGACGACTTGTACTGGTATCCCCTCGCCCGCTCGGCCTTGTCGGCATGGAAAAGGTCGGAGCTGACCACCTTACGGCGTACTTTGGAACAGACGACAGAGGCAGCAAAGGCCAGAGATAGGGAAAGCGCGCAGGTTAGAGTGTGCCTATTGTGTGGCGGGCATGCTTAAAGTACAGTACTTGGCCATGCCGAGTTTTTCTTGCATGCGTCCATTCTAGAATCAAGGTAGAATCCTGGTACGCAACGGTTTTCCTGACTGCGTGTGCACAGGTGGTACGGTCATTGTTTCAAGCGAAACAGTCGACAAGTATTCTCCGCGAACTATGAAAGTAACGTCACGTATCCTGTTCGTGCTTGTGAACGAACGTATTGTTGTGCTCCGGCCGCGCTAAAGTACCGTCTGCGCAGAACACCTTCTCCGGGAAACAACAACCCGGCGTTGTATCGCGGCCCTCATGGCGTGCATTTGCTCGTTTTCATTTCTTAGGGGCAAGTGAGAGAACGGCTACTCTTCATTTCTCCCCTTCGGCCCTCTCATAGGAGGTCACATCGTTCTTCCCCTGCTAAATATTGTGCTACCGCCTGCTCCCAAAATCCCTGTCGTTCTACGCGACGCAGCGACTGGTACAGCTGAGCCAAGCAAACGCAAAGCTGTCGAGTGAATCAACGAGCGCTCGAGCCCGAGTGATCGACGCCGAGGAGGCGGTAGAGAAGGCAGGACAAGACGCCCAGGTAAGGAGGGGGGGATACAGGAAACACTTTTCGAAGAACGCATGTTCAGCGCCGACTCAGACGACTTCGCTTGCCTCGTCTTTGTCAAGGGGACGGCGTGACTTGTCGTCTTTGAGGTATGGTGGTACTGGTAGATCTTCAAGACGCTGATGATGCTCCCTACGTGGCTCGAGTTAGTTTTTAGACGTTTCAGTATACAACCCCCAGGCCTGAAACCAAAGATTCAGCCTAGAAGCTCTCGGACAGGCCTGCGATACGCGTAGTGACATAAACGCGCGTGTATCTTTCCGCTCTCTCATGTTTGCTGGCATCAATAACTGCACCTGGCTAGCGTGTGTTCCAAGCAAGCCCCACAAACTGGTGGAAAAACAATAAACTTTCATACTAAATGCCCTTTTCTCCCCGACGAACCTTCCGACGCACATTCCGTAGGAAGCCGCCAAGGCACAGGCAAAGTTGGAAGATGACGGTCGGAGGGCAGCGGATAGTGTTCAACGGTTGGAGGAGGAGCTAGAGATTGCCAACGCGAGGTGGAAAGCAGCGCAGGGGCAGCTCGTGGCCGCTAATCGCCGGGAGAAAGAGTGAGTCTGCAGGATATAGCACTGCTGTGTCTTGGTTGGTCAGAACAGAGAGCCGTTCACGGAACAAGACCAACGAAGGTAATCAAAATCGTAATCGCTTGAGGACCACAACAGAAGAAACACGTCCTTGCACCGCATTGGCCGAAAAAGCACGTCAACCACAAACAAGGGACGATCATCATCGTGAAAGCATGCGGGAACGTAGGAGGTTTAGATGCCGAAACGTATGTATTGTGTGTGGTTAGGGGTGCCGACATGATGTAGATATATCACATACTGTAGCTTCGAAGCTGCTCACAGGCGATCTGGCTTGAAGGGGGAGGACTCTTATTGGTTGGTATGGATTCAAAGATTTGAGATGGAGAACTGACCCAACGTGATGTACGGAGAGCGCTGTCAGCGACACACTGCATTGCCAAGGACACTGTTCCGATCAGAGTCGTTTTGTTTCAGCAAACTACTTCATGCGCTGTATCACAACCTATTGACCTTGTCACAATCTCCCACACTACTGACAGTTTTGCTAAACCGCCCATGGGACACCCATGGGTCACCCATTGGTCACTCATGGGCCGGCCATGGGCACTTCATGGGCCGGCCATGGGTCGGCCATGGGCTGCCCATGGGCGGCCCATGAAGGCCCCCCCGTGGGCACTTCAACCTAGAACTTCGCCGCCGGCACATCAACCTAGATCTTAGCCACCATGGCCAACCTAGAACGTGTCTTGTGGGCTTGGGATTGGGGTTAGGGTTAGCGTTCAGGTTATTAGCCGCTATAGCGCCCGTTCCAACGCGGATAATTTATTGTTTAGGAGTACACTAGTTCGGTTGAAGGGCTCTCATTGGCCGCCCATGGGCTTTCCATGGGCTTCCCATGGGTCGCCTATGGGTCGTTTGGGAAAACTGTAGAAAGTGTGGGAGACTCCCTTGGCATGCCAATTGTACCGACCAGTCGTTTTGATTCGTTGGCCTCTTTTTCAGATTTTTCTTGAGGAAGTTGTGCGTCGGTCTATTCCAAGCAAGGTATCTGTAAGAAACCCATCCTGTCCATGCGCGGGTTAATTCGGAACCTCGAGGTACGTTTAACGGTTGTCTACGGTCTGCGAATCGCAGGTTTGCCGAAGAGGCGAGGCGACGGATGCGGGAAGCCCTGGAGTCAAAGGACAAGGAAAAGGTCACCGCTCTGAGAGAGATGGAGGTACAGTAAACGCGCATTTTCCCTTCTTCAGTGAATGGTCAACGGTTGAGCCATGCGGCCCGCACTGACCTAGAAGTGGCGTGAACTCCGTTCGTTCGAATGTAACGGTTCGAATGATATTACTTAGCGACACATGGATACAATCTTCATGTATTAGCCGGTATTTCGTAGGGATCAGTTGCATCGAGTGGTTTAGTATATGGAATTGTGTTGCTAATCTCATACTCCTCTTACTCCACGGCAGACGCACGCCGACCGACGGTTCATGGAAGCCGAGGCCAGTCACCGGGCAGTGGAAAGGAACCACGACAGAGCTCTGGTCGCTATACGAGAAGAGGCAAAGAAAAAGGTGACATTCTATCGGATTCCACGAAGCCCCCCTCGGGTGTGGTAGTTCTTATAGATGTCCCACAGGCCATGCACCTTCCTCTACGAAACGAAACTCCATCATCAAACCTCGAGACAGGGAGTTGGTCCCAATGCCATCGGTGTTCAATCCACCGTCTTGGCGTACGCTCATAACGCTTGCGACGGCCGCCGCTGATATCATCATTGCTTCCTTGAGATATTTTCGATTTCTCAAAGAGAGAAATAATGCAGGTTTCGAACACTTCTCCAACATTTGTTCGCGATGCATTCGATCGAGCTGCGTTGTGGTGCACCAAACCATGTTGAAGACATTTCTCCTTACATCAGCCATTGTGACCGAATTTTTTCTTTTTGTACATGACTCTGACCCCCGTTCGAAACCTTACACACCACTCGATCGGTTCCTTGTCCCACCTCCGGACTAAACGCTCGATCTCGATTCCGATTTGGTGGCCTACTATATACAACGATAGCTCCTGGAAGAAGAGGCCAGACGAGTGCGCGAAGTGTCTGATGCCAGAAAAAAGTCTAAGGCGGTAGTCGAAGCACTCCAGGTGAGAACAGGGTACCGCAGCTGACTCTAACATTGTAGCAGCATCGCACAACCTTGTCGGCCTGATCAAGGATATCGCGCAGTTTAAGAAGACCAACGAGAGCACAAACGTTGGACTACAGTCGATTGTTGGTGAACAATGGGATAGCCTTGGTACGTGGAACGCCTTACTTTGCTGCCTCCCCTGCAAGGTTTGCCCGGTTAAGATAGCCTCCATTTGTACCAAGAGTTCGTTGGTAGCCCCCTGATTTCCTACACGAAAGCTTACCGTACTCATCGGACATGACGTCGGACCTCACTTGCTTCCAAGTCAACTTGAAAGCCGATCTTGGTACGTACCGTGGTCAAGATTGTGAAGCATAATTCAACCGGTTTCGAGTTCGAGACTCGAATTCCGAGTGGGGGTACGCGCGGGAGAACCAGCTCTACAGTGGACCCTGTACGTGTTGGTTGTGTTATCCTCACGTACAGCCTTCACGGCGGATTGCAACGTTTCTCGGGATTATTCACCAGACTTTGCAGGGCGAACTAACGCAGTCCGAGGCCAAAGGTTCTGGCCTGGAGAGGCAAGTCTCGCAGCTTTCCGCGCGCATGAGCAGAGCCGGTTCGTCAAGCGTAGCCCCTGCTGGCGGTAATGGAGGCGATGGTAGCAGTGCGTCGGGCAATGGCGGCGTCGGTATGGAACGCGACGGTAGAGGCAGCAGCGGCGCGAGGGGGTCCGAAGTAACCGAGGCGGAGATGACATCTCTCCGCCGGCAGATGAAGGCCGCCACCGAGGTTAGCCTTGCCTTTCATTGTCGGGCCTCTGGTTTCGTTGTCAGGCGGAGTTTTGGCTGCATTTCGGAATCGCTTCCATAGCGATTTTGCAATCTCCGGTGATTAGCACCGCGAGAGATTGAGCAACACTGGGTTGTTCAGTCGCACTAGGGGGTTGGTCACGTATTCGGAAGAACGAGGCACTGCACACGAAAAGAACCAACAAAGGTTTGCCGACGTCAGTCGTTTATCATGTGCTATTGGCCCGCATCCTCCGAACGAGGGCTCACTGCCGCTGTTCCCCTCCCATCTACTTGGCATGTTACGTTCGGTCGAACTGCAGGCGAAAGAAACAGCACAGCGGAGCGCTTTGGAGGCGCGATTGCGTGCGGACGAAGAAACCAAGAAGCGGAGGTCTGTCAGTTCCCACGTTCAATCTGAACTACAAATTTAGGAAGGTTTCCCGGGATAGTAGAATGAACGAGGGATACAAAGTGACTGATGGGAAACGTAAAAACTATCGCTGGAAGAGCGAGGGTTCACTCACTACGCGTGAAGGTCTTTGTGCAAGTGGTATTTCTGGGAGTCCAGATCTGGGTTCTGACTGCACGTTGGAATTGTTTTCTCGTACGATCTTCTTGCCGCAGCTCTTTGGAGGAGTCACTATGTCGAAAGGAGAGCGATATGCTGGCGGCGCTCGAAAGGCTCAACCAGCTCAAGATTCGGCAGAAGGTAATAGGGTCTACAAATGCATTTTCTCCCAATTCTATCCATTCTCATCCACTTACGACTGTGGCATCCTTTCCTGAAGAGGTCGGCCAGGGGTACGACAGAGGGGGGTAGACCGAAGCGCGACAAAAGACGGCACATATGCGAACGAAAGCAAGTATCAGCAATAATTACAGGTCGGAGACTATGATGTACGGTACATTTGTGGGCATCAACTCGGGAAGAACCTGGCTATGTGCTGTTTCATTCGGTGCCTCTAAAATGCGCTGACAATTCAACGTAGGAAGTGGAAGAGCATGCCCGAGAAGGCGAGGAGGATCTGAGGAGTCTCGTGCGGCAACGAGAGTCGGAAATCGAGAGCCTCACCCGGAGGTTTGTAACGTCAATGACCCCCAGGGTTTCAAACAAAGCAAACGTTGAATAAGCAGAGGATGATTGAGACTACTTTGCAACACCCAACCTCCTAACGTGCCACAGTGAGCAGCTCTAAGAGGGATTGTTTCACGAAAACTCTTGACTCCTACATCCGCTGGATTCACCTTGCAGACAATGTACAGTCCATATGCCATACAAGACCCACTTGCCATCGTGCATCACCCTCCAAACCCTCGTCACATGAACATACTACTTCCATTCTCCATCCCCCCCTTCTTGTTTTTCCAGACTGGCATGACTACATACATCGGTATGTTGTTTACGAGCGCTGTCACAACTTGGTGCCAAGGCTGATCGTTGAGCAGCTTTGGTTCCTGTTTGTATAGGAAAAGCCTACTTCATGGACACTGTTTTCCTCTGAGCCTATGCAACTGTTTGCGTTATTGTCCATGCAGGAATCAAATCCTCAACGAAGCCTTGTCACGCCTGACGTCGGCGGACTCTTACCCAGCCGATGTCACTACGGCGGGGAGCTTGTCAGCCGTATCGACAGTATCAGCAGGCGTTAGGGCAGAGGGATTCCCAGCAATCCCAAAACTAGTGGACAGGGGGCGAGAACTCGCGGCATCCCTCCGAGGTATGCTGGCTGTGCTGACGCGAGCGTGTGATGTTGATGAAGTTGTTGATGTTGTGGTATTGAGCGCTATCGCCAATGATGAACCGTTGGTGGTGCTCCGTAGTGCTTCTTTGCATGCATTGAGAAGCCTTGGTGTAGTTGGTACAGGGTCGGCGTAGTGAGTGAGAGTGCTAGTTTCGAAGGGTCCCGTATGTCGATGAAAGTGTTGGTCAGCTGGCAGGCGAAGTATTCGTTTTTCGTTTCGTTTACTCTTTCTTGTCTAGCTATACCAGCACGGATATGGCTTCATTCAACGTCCTCTTAGCAATTTGGTGATAGCCTTTGTGGAAATGACGAGGTCTACAGTAGTTCTTGCTGCACATGGGAAGAAGCGTCACAATGGGTGTTGACGTTCAATATTGCGAAAGAGATACGTGCGTTGACAAAAAACGCAGGGAGCCAACACGAATCATTGACTGAGGGAGGGTCATTACTGTTCTTGTCCATCACTACTCGTACTCGATTCCATTTGGACCAACAGATAGCTGGCAAACCGGGTCCGCCTCTTCCTTCTCTCCAACACTTCATGAGGGTGCTGGAAACTCCCTCCTAGGGTTGGAGGCATCCCTGAGTGTCCTTGCCAATGAGAGTACAGGGTTTGAGCCGCCTGCACCCCCAACGGTAGAATCCGACGTTGGCTATTCGCGCCAAGACCATCGCGCCAAAGGCCGGGGAACAGAGGTAAGAATGGACGGCAGCAGCAACCTCAATGACGGCGACCACGACCAAGCAGGTACCAGTGTGGAAGATGAACGGAACGGACGTGACAATGGCACATCAACAAGAGGGGGAGGAGTGCCCCCCACCCAAGAACCACCAGGAGGGAACATGGCTGGCGAAGGGGCAGAGCACCGCCACCATGGGAACGCGATCGCCACCTCTTCCGCTAAAAACAATCGTTCCACGTACGAGTACCCTGCTGCTGCCGCTAAGGCGGTAGAAGTTAGGCCCAGGGCGGAAATCACGTCGATCGAGCGCGGTAGCAACGGAGGAGTGGGAGTGCTCCACGGGGTTTCCGCTGCAATGGCGTCTGGAGCACTAGCACTGCCTACAGCTGCAGTCCCGGCGCCAGCCTTAAAACGAGACAGGTTAGGCTCAGGCAGCAGTCACAAAGATGATACCGGCGACGGCCATCGGGCACCATCTGACTACCTCCCCCATTTGTCAGGCGGTGGCACTAGGGATGGTGGGGAGCGGCGGAAAAACGACGGCTCGCATAGCACGTCGCACACTGGCAGTGGCGCCCACGACCGCGGGAACATCAGCGACGTGAGAAGCAGAGCGGTCGCAGACGGAAGAGTGGATGGCAATGATGGCGCTGTTGGTGATAGCGCTGGTCAGGACCAGGCAGAAAAAAGGAATGCAGACGACGGGGGTGAACAAGCGCGGCGACACATTGATGAGGCGCTACGGAACCGGGCCCTTCGTAGGAGAAAAAGGTCTAGTGGCGAAAAATGTCTTGGGTTGTAAGGTTCTAGGCATCGTCTGGACCCTCCCCACCCCCCGACAACGAGCGCTTCACAAAATGAAGCTGTTGTTGTGTGTGTTTTTTTTTTACACCTACCTGTAGCACCCCCTATTAATTGTTCACATTTTTCAAATGCGGGACATTTGAACATACTGCGAACACATCTCTGTGGAGGTATCTTTGAATTTCGTATCACGGAGTAACCCCAATACTTCCTCATGAACGCCGAGGCCCTTGAACATATCGTCCTCAGGCTCCTCCGAATTTTCAATAAGGGCAGCGGAATACCCAAGCATATCAATCGGCAGAACACCGACGATATCATGAAATACAGGGATGGAGTCCTACGGCTTGTACCCCTTGCCGAAACACGGCCTTATCTCTGCCTGTGCTAATGATGAGACGTCATCATCGCAACGTCTAGCATCTCGCAAACAAGAGAGAACATCATCGTGAAGTCGAGGTTTTTGCATTGGCAGAACCGCCGGGTCCCCGGGTGGCGCTTAGATCGCCGTCAAGTCTCAAAGAAACGCGCCTGTCTTTGCCACGTCTGCCCCCGGCTCCCGAATACGTTCTTCAGTGACGAAGAAACGCCGGAGCACCCTGAAAATCAAGAGCTTTCGTCAAGGAGAGCAAGATCTGGCCACCACGGATGTAGGTGGCGATCTCTGCTGCCGTACTGCTGTTATGACGGCTGTCTGGGCTGTCTGGCAGTTCCCAGAACCGTTTCGTTTTACCATGCTGTTGGGCCAATTGTGCTATGTAGTTGTCCTGCTTCATCCGGAACCCGCCCGCGATTGGGTTTGAGCTCTCTCTCCCAAGGTCATCATCGTTGTTCGTTGCTCGTTACTCATTTTCTTCCCCCAGCAACAACCGCAGTCGCCAATTTCGAGTTCCCAGCTTCGGTGCGATCGGAGTTCCGAGAAAGTGCTGGCATGACCAACAGCAGCAGCAGCAATACAGTCGGCTACGGCGGGGAAGCAGCCCGATTCATCAACCTCGATTCAATGGCACAACGTGCAACCGGGGGGTGAGTTGTATCTGTGCGATTTCTGGAAACGAGCTTTGCAGGTTTCGAGATGACAACTGCTGCCGCCGAGTCTCACCAGGACGGGTACACCAGCTTCGGTTCACGACTTCCTCCGCATACCCGGGTGATGTGTACAGGTCAAAACAAGGTCTTCCGGGACGAGGAGGCGGTGTCCGGGTGACTCGAGCGCGATCGATCGGTTCCACACCCAACGGCACCATTGTTGCCACCGGGGGGGTCAAGAGAAACTCTTCCTCGTCACGGGTCTATGGCATGCCACAGAACAGTAGATGACCCTTGGGTTCGCTAGGGGCGTGAGAGAATGAGCGCGTCAGATTTGGTAGGGCCCCGCTCACGCACGCAGCCGTATCTTGAGCGAGGCTCACTATCAACACGTTTCTTTGTTTGATGTTGGAACCCCAAGGCCTTCCTGAACACATTCCTTTGTTGTTTGATGTTGGAAACCTAAGGCCTTCGGGAAGACAATCCCCGGAAGGCAAGCCTACGAAGGCGTGCCCTCAGGAGGCCTGCACTTGGGGTTGTCGTTCCTCTTAACTTTGAGGCAAGGAGCGGTGTCCCGGTGCTTCTTTGCGTGTGACACGAGCATGTCGTGACAAGCTGTCAGTCTGCAGCCACGAACACAAACTATGTACTTGGTCAAATATCAAGCCAACAAGACAAACAAACATAATGAAAAAGAAGACTAAAATAAGTAGGCAATAGGCCTTAGCTGTGCGAACTTCCCACCCCAACGAACCGTATTCGCATCCTGCCATTCGTCATTCGACGTGATTGCTGCTGCTACACCGATACTTGGACGGAACCCCCTGTTGTACTACTTGACGGCAGACACATTCGTATGCACACCGCCAACAGTGCAAAAAAACTGCCCCCTGTTGAACGCCCTTTGTCAGGAGGTTCACTTCCATCAAACCGGCAGGACGTCGAACGTTTGCCTTCGAGACCTTTTGTGATGCTCATGTTGAGCCAGCAGTCTCCGACGCCGTTGTCATTGATGAGTCGACCATGTGCGACTTGACAACGAAATATTGTCGACCTATTCTTGCTCGTTCCCACCCGTTTTCTGCGGTTCAAGCATCTAGGCGTATATTCGTGGCCCCACCAAGTAGCATCAGATAAGCGGAGCACCGACTAGCGGTCAGCGGAGACGCAGGAGCAACACGATGGGGGGATGGTTCCCTCGTATGCTCCGCTGTCACCCTTGCTTCCTCCAACAATATGTGGTAAGTGGGAACCCCCTGCCTGCTCGCCACCTTCGAGCGCCGAACCCGTGACGCTTGGTGCTTCCGCTCCTCGTCCTCCCGCGGATCCATCATCAGCGGAAGGGGCTTTCTTCGGGCGCCGCTTTGCAAACACGAGGAACATGTTGAGCGCCTTAGGAACAACCATGATGTAGCCCTTGAACTCGCTCGTGAGCATCGGCTGCCAGCAGACCTCGTCGAAAGCCGCCGGTGCGGATGTCAAGATTCTGATAGTCGCAGCCAGTCGCCCATCAATATCGTGCACCTCTAGCGCGATCTGCGACAAGCGGCGAAGGGCCAAAACCGGAAAGGTTCCCATCAATCGAAGAGCATTGCGTATGGACTCCGACGAAGTACGCTTCGAGTAGGCCAACCCGGTGCCGTGGCCGCGGGCGAGGCCAGAAAATAAGACACGGTGAAGCAACCGAAGAGTTGGAGATGAAGGGAGTGTGGAGAACGGATCTTGACCGCCATTTCTTCTTTGCCAATATACTCGTTGATTGGCCAACACATGTCTTTGGAAACAGGGAAAGGAGCAGTCAAAGAACTTGATAGCAAACCAGGTCTTGATGACCGCTGACAAATGCAAGCCGTGCGATCCATTGGCCAACTTGACTTTACAGCATTGAGAACTTCCTATGCAAGCGACGTCGAGAAAAATCTAGCACCCTTGCCCTGACAATCCAATCTCGCCTGGCGAATCTTCGGCCAGTCGTCGTCATCGATGCCATGAAGTACCGCAAGCTCGTCACCTTCCACATCCACTTTCAACAAGTCCACGCTAGCTACCCCCAGCTGATGCAGAGCGAGTGACAATGGCACCACACTACACACTGAAGGCTCGCCCCCTTCCCCTTCCGGCTTATTTTCACAGACACCATTGTGAGCTCCTGCTACATCTTCGCCACCTGGATGTTTCCCTTCTTCAACAACTCGTCGCCAAGATGCGGCGTCTACGTCCGCCTCTAAAGCTTGCTGCTGCTCCCCACGCTCTCCTCGATGCCTTTAGAAACAGAAAGTACAATCCATAGTACGGTCAGCCGGGGCAACATACTCTCCGGTGTTAGTACTATCATACAACACGGGCTGCAAACCTAGAAACCAGCCCGTGGGGTCCAGTGGCGACAGCGGAAATGACAACATCTGAGTTCTCCTGCTGAAGGGCGTTCCAGCGGCAGAGCTACCAGCGTATGAATGTTCCATGTGACAAACCTGCTTCATTCATTTTTACCTTTGCTTGCAAGTTTCTAGCATCTTGGCTTTGGCTCAGCTTGCGAGAATCATATAGTTCGAGCGGTGTAGGCTTGGTCCTCACCTGGTGCTCTCTCCCGGGTTGTCTCGGAAAAAATAGAACTCCTCTTCAGCCTGTTCGGCCCCTAGAGCTACACGAAGGGCGACGGGCTTCGGACAGGTTCCCTCCTTGACGGGACCCGAGGAGGCGTTGAACAGGTTGCGGACTAGAACGTCGTAAATCACCGGGATCGGCTCAAAGGCAAACACCTGGTTCGATAGGCGTTGTTGTATGTCGATGACGGGTATGGTTGACTCCTGATTGTTTGGCAATATTAATATTCATGAATCGTGCCAAACCTGGCCCACAACGACGCTTTAGCAAGCAAGATTTCCTCTCAATATAGCTAGGAATTGCGCAAGGGGGGGCCTCCCCAGACTGAGGACGCCAAAAGAAAAATCTGTACGTTACTGGTACGTGGTGCCAACGGCATGAACCTCCTTGCCGTCAGAATGCCCTCTCGAAGCTTGCGATGACATGTTGTTCTCCGATTCGAATATTGAAGCAACAATGGTGTTCATAGAACCTCGTGACATTGATCACGGCGGAAGGGTTTCGCCAACATGACGCTTTTGTACCTTTTCGAAGTCTTGTCGGGCGGTTATCAAGTATGGAAATACAAAGAAGGCAACACACATAACAACTCGAACAAAACCTTGCCAGGTAACAAAAAGAGAAGAAACATTGCACCTGGCCAAAAAAAGGGACAGTGTGATGCCAGAAAGCAACCAAAGGGCCAGCAGGAAATAGGGAAGAGTCGTGCCGAGAGACACGAACAGAGAAAATGAGCGACCAAATACTGACGCCAACATTTCATCGAGAGGAGGCAGCAGACGCCAGGCAAAAAAAAGAGGAAACCATAGGCGAACGGTGCGGGAACGGCAAAACGTCAATGCGGTTGCTCCTGATATTGCATGAGCTTACGCGTGAGGCAAAAAAACGACGACTTATGAATCCACACAATACAACCAGAGGGATTCGGCAACAACTGCCGTGAGCATAATTCACAGCTGTGCCTTTGAACGAGTAAAGGGAAACAAGGTTGACCTACCGAGAAAATATACCTGTACGTGGTGAAAAGGGATGCCGTGGTGGAGATGGGGAAACAGGTGAAAATGACAAACGGAAAATGGCATACGCAGGTTTAGCGCCAAAGGTCGTGTAAACTAGGAAGAAACCGTGGCCACGTGCAGTTGAAGAGGAAAGTGCTGGTATGGTGAATACTTTCGCGAGATGCTCCCACAGTCTCTCTATCTTGATTGTGACCGACGGTGTGTCGTTGAAATCGGAAACCTAGGGCAAGCGAGTACCTGCACCCCTTTTGCCTCTCTGAGACATTGCAGCGAGAATAGCCCAATGTTTGCACCAGCGTCGACAACAACGGCACCTTCCTCGACACGGATGCCATGCTGAAAATAACAGCGTCGCACAAACACTTCCTGAGATGCGACGAAGGGGTTAACAACGGCAAACGTCGACGTGAACCGCATAGGCAACGATTAAAGCAAGAACGAAAATCGACAGGCTGAAGTCAGGACGCCAAGTATTCTGTGTGCACTCTGCAATACCTCAAGCAGCCTGCACGACAAAAATACCTCCAGTGCTCCCTGCGCATGTCGGGGTCGACAAAGTCACGCGCACTCTGTGGTCTGCCGATTCACTCAGGATGTCTCCGACATATCAGCGGCATGGGGATTCACCGGAAGCACCCTTGCACTGGCAATAAGCATAGGCATCAGGTGAGCATCAAAACCTCCAACTAGAGTGAAAGGGTGATCGCCCGCCCAGAGGGCCAAGCCTCCACAACACCCTATTTTCTCAGAGCAACGCGAGCATGACCGTACGACACAATACTGACGGAAGGACAACGAGGCAACCCTAAGGATATGCGTTTATGCATAATCGAATGAGATTGTGAGGCGTTGCGAGATATATGTGTGACAAAGTACACCTTCGCGCACGTCGCTCGTGCTGGCTGGCTGCCTGCGGAAGGTAAAAGTCACAGGCAGGGGCACCATGTGTTGTAGAATGACTCGAACCGGGGGCGGGCAAACGTACTTGGCAGTAGACGAAAGAAAACGTATCGTGTCTCGAAATATGAACACAACAATTGAAATGCTTGAACGTAGGAGTTGATAGATCCTACAAACAGCATTTTGGTTTTCTAAAGGGGAGATTTGTTGTAGGAGCAGACGGAAACAAATCAAGGTTTATTGAAAGTAGTCGAATTTGTAACGTCGTTGTTAGGGTATGCATAAATTGCTACGGAAATACGGGGTCCCCTCCCAAGCGGGAGCAGGGGAGTAGCCACCACCTCGGCACTCTATCGAAGCTAGGTGTTCACACAAAGTCTTACGAGGACTAGTCTAGAGAGAGCAACGCAGAGACAAGGAGCGAGGTGGACACTGTGAGGGCTTCGAGTGGTTTGCCAGCTGGAGGAGCGGCAAACAAGTTTGGTCTTTCAATCAGCGAGCCGTGGGGACCCGAGAGGGCCGCCCAACAGCAGCAGCAGTTGTACGAGGGAGAGCGCTGCTCCATCGCGGTGCTAGAGGAACGCCGGGAGTACCGACGCGTGTGCACACCACTGAACGGTACGAGTGGGTCGATATGTGTGGGTCGATAGGATCCGATGCACGTTGGGTGTAATACTGGTAGCGATCCAGTCGCGATTGTTCCACCTCTGCCGTTGGGTTGCTGGGGTGATCGCAGGCGGCGGGAATTTTAATTTGAGCATGGGTGCATACATGGAGGCACACGCCAATTCGCCAGCTGACGTACAAAACGCGACCGGTGTCCTCGCAGGCACGTAGCCATTACGGCGCAGAGATGGTCGCGGATACACGGCACAGTGCATGCAAGCTGAGATGGATGTCAATTACGAGGGCAACACACCGAAATATCACGAGGCAACACATGGAAACAATTTTTTTTTGGTTGTTTACTTGTTCAAAGTACGCTACTGTATCACCAGGGTCCTTGGTTCGGTGCGGCATGCTGGATGATGGGCTGCTGTGTACTGATACCATGCCGAGACATATCAGCTGAGATATACGGATCATCTGGCATACGACATAATTGCATGCATGAAATGATCACAGCCCAGCAGCGCACGTATACAAACCAATTGCTGTTTGGTAAAACCAATTGATGGTCGTTGTGGATGTGCATACAATATGCATATGCATTATGCTGGAAGTCATGAATCCGACTCACAGAGGCTCTGAGTAGCAGTACAATGCGTAACATGGAATCATCTGGTTCACATTTGGTCTCAGATACGCGCCGCTTACCAGGGTTGTCGTCTAGCGCAATTCACGCAGATACAAATCTGCCGGAACCAAAACACATAAAAAGTGTTTGGCGGCGGTGGTAAGGGAGGGGGGGAGCGATTGTCAACAGTGATACATACCTAGTAAGGGATGTTAAACTCGGGCAATTACCCTACGCTCCACAGGCATTACGAAATAGAGTTACAGCAATGCAGGGTCCACACACACAAATAGTGCGCGGCGGCTGTGATGGTGGAAACGTTTGATTATCAATAGTGCCACATATAATTCACGACACCGAGATCCATGCCGGAACCACACGCATACATAGGGTGTGGCGCGTACATACAGAGTGCACATACTGTACCGGATCCACACACATCCAGAGTGGTGGCGGCCGTGGGTGGCAGGCTTGTTTGTTAAACATCGCTACTTACCAGGGTTGTTGCTCAAGGAGCGATTCACGCCTAACAACAGAGTACATACACCGGAACCACACACATAAATAGTGGGTGGCGGCCGTGGGTGGCAGGCTTGTTTGGTAACAGCACTACTTATCAAGGTGGTTGCTTGGAAGCGATTCACGCATAAATACAGAGTACATATGCCGGGACCACACACATAAATAGTGTGTGGCGGCCGTGGTGGGTAGACTTGTTTGTTAAACAGCGCTACTTACCAGGGTTGTTGCTCGAGGAGCGATCCACGCATAAATACAGAGTACATATGCCGGGACCACACACATAAATAGTGTGTGGCGGCCGTGGTGGGTGGGCTTGTTGTTCCAACAGCACTACTTACCAAGGTTGTTGCTCGAGGAGCGATCCACGCATAAATAGAGAGAGTACGAATGCCGGGACCACACACATCAATAGTGTGTGGCGGCCGTGGTGGGTAGACTTGTTTGTCAAACAGCGCTACTTACCAAGGTTGTTGCTCGAGGAGCGATTCACGCATAAATACAGAGAGTACGAATGCCGGGACCACACACATCAATAGTGTGTGGCGGCCGTGGTGGGTGGGCTTGTTGTTCCAACAGCACTACTTACCAAGGTTGTTGCTCGAGGAGCGATCCACGCATAAATACAGAAATGCCGGAACCACACACATAGATAGTGTGTGGCGGCCGTGGTTGGTAGGCTTGTTGGTAAACAGCGCTACTTACCAGGGTTGTTGCTCGAGGAGCAATTCACGCATAAATACAGAGTACATATGCCGGGACCACACACATAAATAGTGTGTGGCGGCCGTGGTGGGTGACTTGTTTGTTAAACAGCGCTACTTACCAGGGTTGTTGCTCGAGGAGCGATCCACGCATAAATACAGAGTACATATGCCGGGACCACACACATCAATAGTGTGTGGCGGCCGTGGTGGGTGGGCTTGTTGTTCCAACAGCGCTACTCACCAAGGTTGTTGCTTGAGAGGCAATTCACGCTTGTGCACAGAGGGTATGAATGCCGGGACCACACACATCAATAGTGTGTGGCGGCCGTGGTGGGTAGGCTTGTTTGTTAAACAGCGCTACTTACCAAGGTTGTTGCTCGAGGAGCGATCCACGCATAAATACAGAGTACACATGCCGGAACCACACACATAAATAGTGTGTGGCGGCCGTGGTGGGTAGGCTTGTTTGTTAAACAGCGCTACTTACCAAGGTTGTTGCTCGAGGAGCAATTCACGCATAAATACAGAGTACATATGCCGGGACCACACACATACATAGTGGGTGGCGGCCGTGGTGGGTAGACTTGTTTGTTAAACAGCGCTACTTACCAGGGTTGTTGCTCGAGGAGCGATCCACGAATAAATACAGAGTACATATGCCGGGACCACACACATCAATAGTGTGTGGCGGCCGTGGTGGGTGGGCTTGTTGTTCCAACAGCGCTACTCACCAAGGTTGTTGCTCGAGAGGCAATTCACGCTTGTGCACAGAGGGCATGAATGCCGGGACCACACACATCAATAGTGTGTGGCGGCCGTGGTGGGTAGGCTTGTTTGTTAAACAGCGCTACTTACCAAGGTTGTTGCTCGAGGAGCGATTCACGCATAAATACAGAGTACACATGCCGGAACCACACACATAAATAGTGTGTGGCGGCCGTGGTGGGTAGGCTTGTTTGTTAAACAGCGCTACTTACCAAGGTTGTTGCTCGAGGAGCGATTCACGCATAAATACAGAGTACACATGCCGGAACCACACACATAAATAGTGTGTGGCGGCCGTGGGCGGGGGCTCGTTGTTCCAACTGTGCCATTTACCGGGGTTGTTGCCTGCGAGGCAATTCACGCTTGTGTAGAGAGGGCATAAATGCCGGGACCACACACATAGATAGTGTGTGGCGGCCGTGGTGGGTAGGCTTGTTTGTTAAACAGCGCTACTTATCAAGGTTGTTGCTCGAGGAGCGATTCACGCATAAATACAGAGTACCTGTGGCCGGAACCACACACATAAATAGTGTGTGTCGCATGTGGTTGGTAGGCTTGTTGTTAACAGCATTACGCACCAGGGTTGTCGCTTGAGGAGCGATCCACGCAGACAGGGTATATGCCGGAACCACACACATCAATGGTGTGTGACGGACGTGGTTGGGGAGCTTGTTGCCACAACAGCAGTACCCCTCGAGGTGTCGCCTTGGGCGATTCTCGCAGTCGAGCATGTGTCGAAACAACTGCATGTACACACACGTTCACCAGTCATTTTGTGAGGCAACAAAATGTTGAGCATTCCGAAACCGCGGGTCGTGCATGTTGTAACCGCTTTAGATGGCTATTGAAACGAGGTCGCGCCAAGGGCGAACGGCAGGAAGAGGGCGGACTGGTGTGCGGGGGGCGGCCAGGTCTGCTGGGCGGTCTACGTCGAGGGCCGCGGCGGCAGCAAAGTCCAATGGGCGCTCCATGTCACGGCGGCCTTCCCGGGCGGTAGTGCGTACGCCTGAGCGGGGAGCGGGCCGCCCGTCACGGGCACGGTCGTCCCCCAGAGACGGGGGCGACGGAGGCACTGACCGCGCCACTATGGACGGTTTCCGCCGTGAGTTGGAGGAGCTACGGCGCCAGACCGCGGAACGCGACGACGTCATCGAACACCTCCAGGAAGTCGTCGCCAGCAGGAACGGCGCGATCCAACAGCTCCAGGCCGAGATCGACGACGTTGTCCGTCGGGGTCC